CCCCCCCCCCCCCCCCCCCCCCAACGACCACTCTCTTTGGCACCTCTCACGCAGGCCGCGGAAGCTGCCAAAGAGAAAGGGGAAGAGGCGACAGGGGCTAAGCAGATGTCCCCTGAAGACATCGAAGCAGAAGAGAGGGCGAAACGCATCGCAGAACACAACGTGCGTACGTGAGGTGGCCATCGACTCACCATAACATGCGCACACACATCTCCTTCACGTATGTCTGCAGAGGAAACATGCTGCCGAGATAGCCGAGAGGGAGGCGCGAAAGCGAAAGGAGAAGGAGGAAGAAGAGGCCAAGAAGCGGGTACATGTACACACATACAACAACAAACGCAGATACAGGAACACACATCAACCCTTCCAGCGATGTTCGCCCACGTGTGTGTGTGTGTGTGTGTGCGTGTGGTTCAGGAGATCCGTGCGAAGCAAGAGGCGAACCGTGACACCGTCACAGCATCGGATCGCTTCAAGCGCCTCCAGCAGCAACGGCAGCAGGATGAAGACGAAGACGAAGAGGAGGACGTGAGCACTCTGACAGACACAGAGAGGCATGATGACAGAGACACAGACATGCCTGCTCTCCTGTGGTGTGCGTCTGTGTGTGTGTTTCTGTGTCAGACGGACGATTGGGACGATTAGGACTGACACTTTCGATGGGATGGATCCTTCGATGGAGACCGGTCATGAGCGGTGACAAATTGAATGCATATGAGGGAGTGAGAGTGTGTTCGTTGGTTGCAATTGGTTTGTCGGTCGATTCATGAATTAGATGATGATCAGCCTTTATTCATAGTGCAACAAATACATACACACAAGGCATATGTGTCTCGACTGTACATGAACAGTAGCTGCTAAGGCCTCACTTCTATGACCTCACTTCCATGTGCACTTGGGGATGGTCAATTCATCCTTGATTCATCCGCTGCCCACCAACAGCCTCCCTCTTTCGCTCCTTTCTGATGCAAGCTAATCTCGCCGACTCGAAAAAGCTCGCAAATACAGATTGTTGATTGTCGCAAAGCAGGGCAGGGGGAGGATCACATGTCCTCCTGCACAAGAGCGCTGACATCCGCTGGGCAGAGAACCTTCGCGAATCGCCATTTTTGACGATTTAAGAGACAGGCGCGTCACATGAGGAGCTGCATGGCCCACGGGAGCTTCTGAGGACAAAGGGGAACAACACGAACGACAGCAAGTGAAGATCAGCCCCGCCTGCTTGTGAGAGATTAGCGCTGAGTCACTGACTTAGCGAAGCTGCACAGTGACACGTGTATTGCTCTGGGGCGTTGTGTGCGTGTCAGAGTGGGAGCACTCGGCTGAGTTAGGCGCCTTGTGGTCACCCTGGTACGCGCGAAGTCGTCTGTGCACAATCCACTGTGTGTGGTGTCAAATGTCTGTCCTCCTTGCCTTGTCAGGCGTCCCAGCCCTCCCCCTCTCTCCCATCTGCATCTCCTCTTTGTCGTTCTGCCACTGCTACTGCTGCTGGCGGTAGCTCCTCTCGCCTAGCTTTATCGCGGCCGCCCGAGCTGACCCTCAGCAGCCCACAACCACACACTGACGCACACAAGGCGGCTGTCAAAGAGGTCAGTGCGATCGACAGACAGATACACGGTCATGTGTGTGTGTGTTTCATTCAGTCGCCGTATCGGTCTTTGAGCGCAGCATCGACTGTGAGTGACTGCGCGTCGTCCGTCACCGTCTCACCAGTGATTAGCCAGGTGTGTAGCGTACCCATCACCCAGACACACACCCACAACCCCATACCGACTGTATCTGTCACTGTCACTGTGCATCACAACCACCACCACCACCGGCACCATCATCGCCATTGCCAGTCGGGCGACCCCTTGATCGACCTCGAGAGCAACAGACCTCCTCCCTCCTCCCCGTCCCCATCCGACTCATCTGCACCCTCTCAGGTCGCACCAGCCTTCACAGCTCTATCGGCGATCCGCGTCAACGGCACCATGCCACAGCAGCAGAGCGATGCCGGCGTCGAGATGGAGGAGAGGACAGCCGCCCCGGCGCTGCCCTCCAGCCCCCATGTGCGGCCGTGTGACGAGATCGTTCAGTACTTCAGCACGGACATGACTAATGGGCTGACTGAGGAAGACGTAAGTGGGTGTGGGCGTGTTGCCGGTATTTACACACACACACGTGCTTTTGTGTGTGGCTTTGTGTGGTGTGTATGCGTCAGGCGGCCGAGAGCCTCGCCAAATATGGGAGAAACGAGCTGACCCACGAAGAGGGTACATCCGTCCTCTCTCTCAGTGCGGATGTATTGTGCCGTTTGTTTGTGTGGTGTGTGTCAGGCAAGTCCCTCTGGCGCCTCATTCTCGACCAGTTTGAGGACCTGCTGGTACGCATGTCCGTCCACAGATGGATGGATGCCAATGATGTCTGAGTGCGTGTGGTGTGGGGGGATGTGCAGGTGCGTATTCTGCTGTTGGCTGCGTGCGTGAGTTTCGTGCTGGCCGTGCTCGACGATAGCGGAGATGAGGGTACGCCTGCAGACAGAATGTGTGTCTGTGTGGGTGTGTCCAAGCGCACCTCCCTTTCTCGTGTATGTGTGTGTGTTTGATCAAGGTCTGACGGCGTATGTGGAGCCGCTGGTGATTCTGCTGATCCTGATCGCCAACGCCATTGTGGGTGTGTGGCAGGAGAGCAACGCAGAGAAGGCGCTGGAGGCACTCAAGTCGCTGCAACCAGAACTGGCACGCATTCTCAGGTGAGCCGGGTCACTCACGAGACAGACGTCCGCATGAATGGTGTGTATGCATCTTCATATGTGTGTGTGTGGTGCAGGGATGGCAAGTGGAAGACCATTCCTGCGGAGGAGGTTGTGCCTGGTGACGTGTGTGAGGTCCGTGTGGGCGACAAGGTGCCCGCTGACATGAGAGTCTGCCAGGTACGTACGTCTGTGTGTAAATGGGCGTATATTCGCCTCGCCCACACACATGTGTTGTGTTGTGTCGTGTTGTGTTTGCGTGTGTGCATGTCCACAGCTCAAGACGACCACACTGCGTGTGGAGCAATCGCAACTCACAGGAGAATCGCAGTCGGTGCAAAAGGTAACCCGACACACACAGATGGGGCGTGCACACTTGTGTGTGTGTGTGTGTGTGTTGGTGTGCGTGTATATGGCCATCCATCAGCTGCCGGACCCTCTTCCATTAGACATGACCGATTGCGAGCTACAGGGCAAGAGCAACATGGTCTTCAGCAGCACCACTGTCGCCAACGGTTCGTAGGATGCACGCAGCCAAGTCCATCTGTCTGTCTTGCTGAGCGTCCATCGTGCACGTGTGTGCAGGTTCGGCTGTGTGTGTGGTGTGCGCCACGGGCATGCGCACCGAGATCGGCAAGATCCAGGAGGCCGTCACAGAAGCTGGTACGCATGTGTGGGTGTCTGTGGCATCCGCCTCGGTGTCTATGTGTCTGTGTTTGTGTGTGTGTGCAGGGAAGGAGGACGACAGCACGCCGCTGTCAAAGAAGCTGGATGAGTTCGGTCCGTGCATTCACACGCGCAGTGCACAGGCAAATTCTCCCTGATGTGTATTGTGTTGATGTGCGCGTGTGTGTTTATGCAGGGGAGCTGCTCTCCAAGGTGATTGGCGTCATCTGTGTGATCGTCTGGCTCATCAACTTCAGAGTACGTCAACACACACTTTCAGGCGCAGGCTCCTCTGCACTAGTGCATCCCTGTGTGCTGTGCTGTAACCCGTCAGAATTTCAGCGATCCCGCGCATGGCGGCTTCCTGCGTGGCTGCATCTACTACTTCAAAATCGCCGTCGCACTCGCCGTACGCCCCAACACACACGCACACACACACACAAGGGACATACAAACATGACCATGCACATGATTCACACCACAGGTGGCTGCCATCCCTGAGGGACTGCCGGCGGTCATCACCACATGCCTCGCACTCGGCACACGCAAAATGGGTACCTTCGCACAATCCACACACCGAAGAGCGCGTTAAGGTGTGTGTGTGTGGTGACATATATGTCAGCCAAGAGGAATGCGATAGTCCGTCGGCTGCCGTCTGTGGAGACACTCGGCTGCACCACTGTCATCTGCTCGGACAAGACAGGCACCCTGACGACCAACGAGATGAGCTGCGTCCGCTTCTGCCTCCCAAAAGCAGCTAATGCGGTATACAGAAGGAAAGGAAGGGCACAACGAAGCCGTCCATTCATAGCACGGGTGTGTGTGTGTGTGTGTGTGTGCGCAGCTGGATCGCTATGTGGTGAGCGGGACGTCCTACTCGCCAGTGGGCCAGATCACCGTCAACGATGGATCGGCCAAGCGTACGTTGACAGACAGAGCATGCCACCCCAGAGCCCGTCCACACGTGTGAATGCTACGTGGCTTTACGCATGCAGCTCTCACGTCTGTCGGTGCGGCGGACAGGGGCCTTCAGTGGTTCTCCAAGGTCAGTCAGAGGAGTGAGTCGCACCCAGGCAGACCACCACCGATGTGTCTTCGTGTACCTGTGCTGTGTGTGGTCAGGTGTGCTCGATGTGCAACGACAGCACACTGGAGATCCAGAGGGACACCGGCCGATACGGACGCACCGGGGAGCCCACCGAAGCCGCACTGAGGGTAGAAACAAGACATACACACACACACACACGCATCTTTCCACAAATGGACACGTATGGATGAGTGTGTGTGATTGTGTGCAGGTGTTGGTTGAGAAGCTCGGCTGCCCCGACGCATCGCTGACCAGCAGATACCTCCAGACCGCTGACAGGGACAGAGCCATGATCTTCAAGTATGTTCCCCGCCGGTCCCCCCACCCCCACACACACCACACACACACACACACACAAATGAATGCATGTGTGTGTGTGCACGCGTGTGTGTGTGTGTGCAGCGATTACTACGTCTCTTCGCTGGAGAAGATGGCCACTTTGGAATTCTCGAGAGACCGCAAATCCATGAGTATGCTCGCAAAGGAGAGGTGCGCAATGCCATCAATCAACAGACTCGCACATATGAATGCACACGCACTCATCTGTGGTTTGTGTGTGTGGGGGGGCGCGGCGCCTTACAGGGGTGCCAAGACCAACCTTTTGTTCTGCAAGGGTGCGCCGGAGAGCATTTTGGACAGGTGCGACACCCTGATGCTGCCCGACGGCACACTCGCCCGCCTCACCGACGCAATGAGACACACCATTGCGCGCGAAGTCGATGGTACACACACCCAGAGAGAGGGAGGGAGAGAGAGTCGCTGTGTATACAAATGTGTGCGTTCGGTATATGTGTGTGTGTGCAGACATGGCAGGTGAAGCGCTGCGTACCCTCGCCATGGCCATCAGGTTCGATTGTGGAGAGCTCAGGGACTACGTAAGCGCCAGACACACACACACGCACACACACACACGGATGGGCTATCGTGTGAATGAATCTGTGTGTGTGTCTGTGTGTGTGGATGTGCGTATTCAGAACGGCCCCTCCCACCGTGCGCACCACCTGCTCACCGAGCCCGGCAACTTTGTCAAGTGAGAAGATGCACACACAGAGATATAAGGATGGACCAAAACCTATGAGTGGGTGGTGTGGTCGCAGGATCGAACAGGGGATGACGTATGTGGGTCTGGTGGGCATCATGGACCCCCCTCGCCCTGAGGTGGCAGGCTCCATCACCGAGTGCCACCAGGCCGGCATCAAAGTCATTATGATCACAGGTGCGTATTCTGCCTCCCTCTCTCCCTCCCTCCCCACCTCACACACACACATGAAAGGACCTGTGTGGTGTATGTGTGTGCAGGAGACAACAAGCTGACGGCCGAGGCCATCAGCGAGAAGATCGGCATTCTCGCCTCTAAGACGGCCAAGCAGAAAGGCGCCGGACAGGTAGGCACATACAAACCACACACACACACACATACATGGGCAATGCACATGCTGCCAGAACGGCCTGGCGTCGACAACGATGCGTTCCTTCACGGGCCGCGAGTTCGAGATGCTCACAGAGGAGGAGAGAGTCGAGGTCCTCGCAGCTGCTGGTGCGTATCAGCTGACACCAACACGAGAGACGAACGTACGTCGTGCACACGTGTGTGTTGGGTGTGTGCAGAGGGCGCCGTGTTCAGCCGCACTGAGCCGAAGCACAAACAGCTTATCGTTAAGATTCTGAGAGAACTCGGTGAGTGAGTTGTACCCTTTCCTCCCACCCCACACACGCGTCGACATGTGTGTGTGTGTGTGTGTGGCCTCATCACTGCATTCATTCGCAGGTGAGATCGCTGCCATGACGGGCGACGGTGTCAACGACGCCCCCGCGCTCAAGCAGGCCGACATCGGGATCGCTATGGGCATCACTGGGACTGAGGTAAGCGGCACAAACACGCCCACACCACACGGCTGTCTGCACACAACCATCCATGTGCACCGTGTGGACACCTCGTCAGGTTGCGAAGGAGGCGAGCGACATGGTGTTGGCCGACGACAACTTCGCCACCATTGTGCATGCTGTCGAGGAGGGGCGCTCCATCTACAACAACATGAAGGCCTTCATCCGGTACCTCATCTCGTCCAACATCGGCGAAGTGGCCTCCATCTTCCTGACGGCAGCACTGGGTAACCCTCTCTCCCCCCCCCACCGCCACCACACACAGAGAGAGATTGATCCCCCAATGGTGTTGGTGTGTGGATGGTGTGTGCAGGCATCCCTGAGGGCCTTGCCCCGGTGCAGTTGCTGTGGGTCAACCTCGTCACAGACGGACTGCCGGCCACCGCGCTCGGTAGGGATGGATGTATGAAGGGATGGATACCACACACGTGCATATGTGTGTGTGTGGTGTGCAGGGTTCAACCCTCCTGATGTGGGCGTCATGTCCCGCCCACCAAGGCGGAGCGACGATGCGCTCATCAGCGGATGGGTCTTCTTCAGATACCTAGTGTACGCATCCTCACACACAGACGGAGGGCACAGCAACGCACATACACACGCGTCAACAAAATTGGGGGGTTTGGTTCGTCCAGTATCGGCATGTATGTGGGCATTGCGACGGTCGGCATCTTCGTGTGGTGGTGAGCTCACTGACCACATACACGCACACATACACACACACACACACGCAGACATACAGACAGACATCTGTGCACGGAACGGCATTCACGCTTGTGTACAGGTATGTCTACGGCATCGATCCTACTGACGGTACGTGCATGTCTAACGACACGACGTGATTGCCGACAAGGTGCGTGGATGTGTTTGCGTGTCTGCCTGCAGGCCACACGCTGGTGACGTTCGACCAGCTGAGGTCATGGGGCTTCTGCAAAACATGGTGCGTGGGTGGGGACAGACAGACAGACAGACTCACCACAAGCACCTAACCACACGTCCATTTGCATGTCTTCGTATGTGCATCCACATGCAGGGAGGACTTTGCTGTGAATCCCGTGTACGGGATGTCATCGGACCCATGCAGCTACTTCTCTGCTGGCAAGATCAAAGTACGTGCCTCCACAAAGAGACACACAACAGTGTCTGCGAGCGTGGATGTGTCTGTGTGTGTGTGTGTGTGGATTATTCTTCGTTCCGTTAGGCCTCGACTTTATCGCTGACGGTGCTGGTTGTGATTGAGATGTTCAACGCGCTCAACGCCCTCAGTGAAGACCACTCACTGCTCATGATGCCACCATGGGTCAGTCAGCACACAAACACGCGTGCGCACGTTGTGTATTTATTGTATGCATCTGGATGTGTGTGCTGTGGCTTTGTGTGTCACACAGAGCAATCCATGGCTGCTGCTGGCGATAATGGGGTCGGTCCTGGTGCACTTTTGTATCCTCTACGTGCCATGGCTGGTGAGTGAGCACTCACTGGTGCCTGTGGCAGCGTCTTCACACCACGTGTGGCATTGTCGCTGTGTGTGCTGTGTACGTGTGCAGGCACGTGTATTCAACGTGGTGCCGCTGACGGCGCACGACTGGTATGTGGTGGTGATGTGGTCATTCCCAGTCATCATCATCGACGAAATACTCAAAGCTATCGGTATGCTGATCCCCTCCCTGCCCCACCATGCAATCGTATGTGTGTGTGTGCAATGGCTGGTTGCAGCGAGGGCGTGCTGTACGGAATACGGCAAGGCCAGGAGGAAACTGAGAAGCAAACACGAGTGACGGACACCACAGGTGTGCCTCCCTGCATGACGGATGCATCGATATGAGTGGATGTGTACTCACGGCCTCTATATAACTCTGCGCACGTGTACGTACGTATATACGCACATCAATCATCCATCGATTCATTGAATGCATTGATCCCCATCCAGCCGTGTGTGTCATGTACCGTACGTGTACATGGAGGAAGGAATAAGGCAATGAATGCAATGCAATGCAGACACGAAAAAGTGTGCGCATCAATTCGTATCAGTAAAGGACAGAAATGGGAAAGGGGAGGGGAGGGATGCAGGAGGGGATGCACACAAGACAACCACCGACTGGAGCTCACGTACAGACGTACGTTGACATACTTGAGTGTGCTTTTTGGCCTACATGCGTCTGCTAGGGAGACAAACAACAAGTGCTATGCTGTGTATGTGACTGACAGAGTGAATTCACCGACCCATCCCACCCCTCCCCCGTGTGTGTCTGCGTGCATGTGTGTGTGTGTGTGTGTGGCCCCCTATTGCAATGCATGTACTATGGTCTAGTGCCCCCTGAGTGTTTCTATTCATTCGGTGTCCATCCATCTGATTGCCTTCCTACAGTCATGTTTGTCAAGCCGACCGACTTTTGCATCCGTACGTACGTGTCTGTCTGATGTGCAACTTGACTGACCGACCGATTGCAGTGTGCTCTTAACTAGATAGATGCTAATTGAATGAACCCTCTTTGCCAGTCCGTTGTCGCGCCTCCTGAATCTACGGTCTATTCTTCCTCTACTCCATTCTACGCATTCTACATCCACCGAATACACCATCGTACATGCACACGTGCAGCACTGGATGAGACGCCACAAGGGATGTCTGTAGTCTAGATAGCATGTCGTGCTGCCGCTATGCTCAGCAGGTACGTGCCGTCTTCTAGGAGGGGCATCGGCCGTATTACCTCTCTACCACACTGAGGATGGAGTGTACAGGGCGGGCCAGTGTGTACCTCCCAGTCACCAGCGCCTGCAGTTTGGCCGCCAATCATTCATTCATTTTCTACAATTCTCAGCAGAGACAAATCATTCACTGCTACACCAATCATTCATTCTCTACAAATTATCTACAATTCGCTATACGAGGGGGCGTTTTACCGGGATATGGCTTGACCTTGGCTGCAATCTGATTCCATCTTTCCTGCTGTGGCATACATCGCTATCCGCGCCACCATCCGCATCCACATCCATCGCAGCTCCACCGTCGATATAAGCAGCTGCCGTAGCAGAAGCAGGGACGCCAGCAGCACTGACGCGGTTGATGGACCAACACGTCTGCATCCATTAAATGGACAGAGACACATCTATACACTCAAGTTGCTATATGTCAGGGGACTGCGTGTTTGCATACCGCTCAGCGACAGGACATTTTGTCGGACTAGCCACACCCGTCCCAGCGATGCCGACATATGGGTGATCGTCGATCTATGACAAACAACAGAGAAGTCCACCGGAATGAAATTCGATCAGTCAATTGGATCAGTCGTCATGTCTCACCAGTCTGAGACGCAGATACGTGGCCCCGATATGGTCTCTCTCTGACTCTCCCTCTCCCGGCCCTCAGCGTCGCGCATCTCTGCATCCACGGACGGGGCGGGGAGAGGCGAGGGGGCGTGCTCAGCTGTGCCGGCACGCGAGCGGGGGCCGGCGGGTCGGTGGAATGCCGGTGGGGGATGTGACGTAGCACCCGAAGCAGCAGCAGCACCAGCACCGCCATGACCACGTCCTTGGGCCTCCCGACGGCCACCTGAACCGCAGTGGACACAGACACATTACCCACGCACATTCACGCTTTCCCGGCCTCCTCGTGTGTACCGTTGAGGGCGAGCGCCTGGCGACGTTTGTGATGGCCGTGCGTCCACTCAAGATACAGTTGGAGGAACCGCAAATGCAATCTCTCTGACCGGCGAGAAGAAGATCCCTCTGCACGCTCTTGAGTGGTGGGCCTTGCGCGAAGGACGCTCTGCAAACCTGCTCCATATGCGTGGGCACCGTGTGTCGTTCCTCCCCTGCTGAACGTTCTGCTGTGGCGGCGGGCGAGACGCCCAATTGCGCCCGCCTGGCTGGTCGCCACACTATAGTCACAACCGCCTGAGACACACACACACACACACGTACTCATGTCACTCCACTCGATTATAATTTTCTTGGTAAAGAATCGGCCGGGTACTTGAGTGGTGGGCTTTCGTCATGTGGCGTGAACCCGATAGGGGGGTGTTTGTCGGCCCAGGGAAGGGTTGGCTTCTCGTCCCACTCCCAAAACGCCTTGCCGTCAGGGGTCTTGATATTGTGAATGCCCCCCCCGCGGCAAAGGATGAGAACCAGCCGCCTCAGCTGGCATGGCCAGCACGTCTTGGGGGAGGGAATAAACAACGGGCCAGAAGATGGCGTTCTCGTCGTTGTTGTGCTGCTCCATGAGCCGCTTCTTGCGGGCATGAAACTTGGGGCACTTCTTTGAGTGCCCCTCATCGAGACAATATGCAACCACCTCAGGGGTGTTGCAAGCCACCTGAGTCAACCGGAGGAGCATGGCATTGAGTGCTTCATGGTGAGGGACTCTCTGCAGACGGTGTACCGTGAAGGCGCCACTTGCATAGCAAGTGCAGCTAAACCTGCACCGGGGCGCTCCGAATGTATTAACCACAGAAGCGCCCGCACCTTTTGCAGCGCATCACCGGCCTGCAGCGATGACGTGCCCCATCTCCCTCCGCCATTTTGACCTCAACTCAGTCGACTCGCACTTGTTCTTGTTGACCTCACCCTCGAACTCTGCGTTGTCCCGACGACGACAGTGAAACCGAATAGGGGTCGAACCAGTGTGCACTGCTTTGTATACTTCCAGCATTCTTCGGTTCAAACAATGCTGAGACACCGGAATCTCACGCTGCAGAAAGACACAGACAGACCCAGACAAACAGACAAAAAGACAAACAAACAAACAAACAAACAGACAGGCCAAGAAACAAAGAGATGCCACAAGCCACCATCTGAAGGACTCGTCCCATCTCTTTGATTACCTTCTCGCGGTACTCAGTGTTGCCGTCAATACATTGCACCTCAAAGAGCATGACACGCTTCTTTCCCTGCACTCACACCCAAAAAAAATGGGGCGGAAATCGCCAGTGTACACACAAGCATACGACGATCATGTGTACATCAATCAATGTATTTGCGTCTCGTCGGACGGCTTATACGTTCGGTGTCTGGCGGGGCGAGCTCTTCCTCCTCCTCCTCGCGGATGACAGTCTCGGGGCTGCCTGCAGCGACCGAGTTGGGCGAATAGTTGTCTATCACAGCATGACTCGGTCTCTTGCACAGCCGCAGCAAGCCTTGATGAGGGCATTCAACGGGCGAACGCTAGCTTGCCAATCGTCTTGCCCTGCACACGGGAGAAGCAGCATGCAGCACAGAAAAGTGCAGACAGAAACCAGCTCCGTCCGTTTACCTGCGAAACTCGTCTTGTACACGCTCAGGGACGAGCCGAGCCGGTTCAAGGAATCCAGCAGGGCCCTCTCTAGCGTCTTGTCGTTCTGCAGATTGAGCCGCAGGGTTTCTGGAGGGACTCACCACGACGAGGACTTACTTTGTTGCTTACGTCAAGGGAGAGAAGTGATAGGGGTTCACGAACGCGTCTACAAGTGAGCGCACCTTTGTCTCCTGCACACCTACGGAATGCACAGCTACGAAATGCATGCAGCTCGACGGGGAAAACCAACCTGCATGTTATGGTCACATCTGCACTTGCCAATCCAGTCTGACCATAAGATGTCTTTTGTTTTCTTACAGCGCTACACCAATGTACGTGGCTGCCGTGTTGTGGCCGTAGTGACAGAGACACAGAGACACAGCACGACCACAAGATGAAGGAGTCATGTGTCTTTCGTTTGTGTATCTCACCAAGAACGGCCGACATCCCTGCTGGGGGTGTATTGATAGCAGTTGCGGATGTCGACAGCCGTGTGAGGCAGGTCATTGTCATCCTCACCCAGCGAGATCTGCTCAATCATCACATTCCCACCGCGCGAAAGAAGGCCGTCCTCCCCCGTCACCGACACAATTTGGCTGATTTCGTCCATGTCGATCTTGGTCGGGTGGGGGAAGTGGCCGGTTGAGGAGAACTGCCACACCTCGCACCGGTACTCGTTGACGTTGGACCATGTCGGCTGCCTGTTGATAGTCAAAGTGGTTGAACAAGCTGATGTTGTTGATGAATTCCTGAGTATATCCGCGACACAGCTTGACGAATCGGTCAAACTGCGCGCCGTCTCTGCTGCGACTCGATCAACTGGCTCCGTCCTCTACGGGAAGAGAACAGCACAACACACACCAGAAGACAGAGAATGGTGTCTCTTCCCAGCCCCGCATCGTCGAGAGTGCACAGCACCGGCTGGGGCCGTTTATTGGAGACACAAATTCCACGAACGACTCGACTGACGACTACAAATATACGGACATTGCACGCACGCCAGCGTATCAAAGATGTATTTACTCGCACCTCTTGCAACGATCCCTAAACAAAGTCGCCCCTCTCGTACCCCCATCGAGTAAATAACCCATCGTTAGTGATGGTGGCCTGCTTGAACTTCTTGAAGACGGCAAAGTCGTCCATCCAGATGACGGCAAAGGGATGATCTGGGTTCTCTCTTTAGCTCTTGTACTCAGCGGCCGCCTGTCTGTCGTTGCCCTGGCCGTTGCAGTTCTTGTAGACACACATCATGGGCGTCGTGCGGCACAGGTTAAGCATGGCCTTCTCGCACAAAGATCCACACACACACATGTCACGTCACCCAAATCTCACCTCATCGTCTGTCATGTTGCGAGTTTGCTCCTCGCCGTAGGCAGAGTAGAAACACACCGACTGAGTGGACTCGCCATCGTCCGTCTGCACCATTGGTGACCATAGTAGGTGCACAGTCGCCGCATACTGAGACAGCACCAGACAGCCACTGCAAGCCATCATTCCTTTGTGTCTCCTTACGTAAGTGCGTGTGTGTGTTTGACCTATGTGATAGTCGTCAAACACACCTCGTTGGAGATGGTCTTGATGGAGATGGAGTCGCCGCCCCCTGAACACAACATTCCCCTGCCTGCCTTGCTGTCTTGCCTGCCGCATTAATTGTCTGACCTTGCTGAGTAGGTTGGGTCTTTGTCTGGAGTGGTTGACGAGCCTGCCGGACTCCCACGTGTGGCTGTACTGCTCGCTCGTGGCGTCTCCAGGTCATGCAGTTCCTCTGGCACTTGAAGTAGCACACAGAGGGGCACCACTTTGCGTCCTCCTCTAACACACACACACACACACACACACCGCTACACACACAATACACGCATCGCTTTTATCCCCGAC